TAATATATATTTAATATATATCATATTAACCATATATTATTACAATATATTGTATAGATGCACCAGTTCTTGCGTGAGATGGGTTCTCATGACAAGGTGATAGTATTTTTTGGTAAGAAGGCAAAGGTGGATGATATTTCTAGTGATCTAGCTTTAGCGAATATCGATTGTCAAAGCATTCACGGTGATAGAGAGCAAGCGGATAGGGAACAAGCATTAGAAGATCTGAAGACTGGTGCGGTTCAGATTCTTCTTGCGACCGATGTGGCTAGTCGAGGAATCGATATTGAAGACATTACGTAAGTTTCACAAGTGAAAAACGCGCTATGTTACTTACAATGCAACATCAATATAGCATACAGTTTTATTATAATAATTTTGCTCTTATTTTAGATATGTACTGAATTATGACTTCCCAAAGGATATAGAGGAATACGTTCACAGAGTTGGTCGTACCGGACGCGCGGGTCGAACAGGAGAAAGTATCACTTTCATGACAAGACAGGACTGGCATCATGCTAAGGAACTCATCAGTATTCTTGAAGAGGCTGATCAAGTCAGTAGATATGCTAAGCAAGCATTTAGTTATTCCAGATTTTTTTACAAAGAGATGAAACTTGTATCTTTTATTTCAGGAAGTACCTGAGGAATTATATAAAATGGCTGAAAGATATGAAGCATGGAAGCAGAGGAAAGATTCAGAACGATCCGGTCTAAGAAATAGTAGAGACGGCAATAGAGGTAGACAAGGCTATAATCGTAGCCGATGGTAAAATCCGACCGATTAATGATACGAATGGCGCAAGATTTATTTTTGTTGTAAGTGTAAACTATATATATATCAAACAATGCAAAGGTTCTATTTATATCATATGCAGGATAATTAGTACCTAATACACATTGTGATATAACATTTTTATTTCATCCATATGTGATTTCTCCAGAACAATTACAGATAATAATAAAATGTTCCTTTTATATTTCTTATTGTTAATTGCCAAAGTTAATTATAAGATTTTATAGTATTTAAAATCTCTTCCATAGTTTATTTTATACTGAAGAGTTAAAATATATTTAGCATGTTATACAATTGGAATAAAATTGCAATCATTTGCATTTAGTTCTAATTATTATTAACAGCAAAATATATGACCCTTTACTATGTGTTTAAAAGTATTCAATATGTTAGTAAGATATAGCACATTTTATTTTGTAAGTTTTTTTCTAGATATATTTCTTTATAAATGCATACCATGCATAAATTTGTTATTACAAAAAACTTATATTTTCAACATTCCAATTTGATTAAAAGAAATGAACCACATTTCATTTAATGAAATTTATTTAATTTCCTCACCAAACGCAGATAATTTTAGATATAACATATTCCATCTATAATAATTTACATTGTTAGATATATTATTTCTATCACTTTAAGAAAAATATATTCAAATTAATAGCGCGCGGGTATCTATTTAACAAATTAGAGATGGAACCCTATATACCTAATGTGTTTATTTCAAAAATATTCGTATTTTTATTATCAACTTCCAAACTGCTCAAACTTGAAGACCATTAGTGTTATTTAATCTCGACTTTATATTAAATTTTTTTTAAATATGTATTACTATGTATTAAGAAAAAAGAAAGAGATATTTCATTAGAATTATGAAATCTAAGTAAAATCTACTTTTATATTGACAAACAATTTAAAAAGAGAAATTACATTAATAAATTAAAGAGACTATATCAATCTGATTTTTCTATAAACATATGTAGTAAAGTTTTCACGAAAATAGATAACCGTCAAGATAAAATACAATTCTTAAAAATATATAATATAATAATAAATGATCACCGGATATTTTATTAATAATAACCAGAAAAGAAAACGACCATTTAGAATAAAACAGGTTACAAAATGTTGGATCCTACATGAAATAGACTTAGCTGTAAACTTTGAAATTTTTCGTTTTCGTGTATTTTTCGGCAAAGGTTTTGCCGCTTGGAGTCGGTATCGAAAACGCTATATCGTCCAACGACATCACATAACCATAGAAGAATTTTGATCTGAAACACGTGAACGATATTTTCTATTTTCGTTACCAGCAGTGTGATTAACAATAGCTTACCTCAAAGTATCGACGAGTTTAGTGGCTATACCCTGTTTACGGTGACTCATCGCCGTCCAGACAACGTTTATGCCGCATTTCGTAGGTGTGCTTTCGGCGGTACAACAGTTCAGCTCAATTAGCTCAGGGATCATGCGATACGCCGTTTGGATAGGTTCCGCTACCAATATTCCGAGAACGTTTTTCTCGCGAATATACAACAAGACCTGCGTGATTCATATTTTTCTTTTATCGAATTCGATGTAATATAAACGCTGTATCTTTATACATACCTTTTTGCCCTGATAATCTGACATACTCATATCTGCCAATCCCAAATCTCTATCTACAATGGCCAAAATATCTGATACTTTTTTCCAATATTGTTTCGAGTCATGTGGTTCGACTAATATTATTCTACTAGATGTAAAAGTATCTTCCATTATAACACGCTCGTTCTTCCATCCCTAAAAAACATGTAACAGATATATTATCATATTTTTTTATAGCAATATATGATACTAACTAATTTTATGGATATAAGATTCAGTTTACCTGGAATTTTAAAGTCCGTACGCTATTGTGATAATTTAAATGAGCATTTTCATCTTCGGGATTGCCCAATTGGTATACAACGTTGCATTCTGGGCATTGAGTGGCACCAAAACATTTTTGACCAGCATCTAACTGATATTGATTTTCTGCACCACCACCTTTTGTGGACAATTGCCATTGCAAATTTTTTTTTGAGGATTTTGCAATTTTTCTGTTATTTGTTTCTCTAAAAGAGAAATCAAAATACTATATTGAAATGGATCTAGAATTGAATTCTTTGTAATATTTTTGCCTTTATGACTTAAAATATTTTCTCAAAGAAAGAAAGAGAGAGAGAGAGAGAGAGAGAGAGAGAAAATTAATATAAATCAAATAAAAATATTAATAGAAAATATATATGTATAATTTTATATAAATTAAATAAAATATTTTAATGATAATGAAAAATATTTGTGCGATTTATAGCACAGGCATTGCAAAACATACTCGAAAATATTATCAGATGCAGAATTTCCTTTGTTGAATAATGGAAAGTATCTTTTTTCGTTTTCACCAGTTTTTACGGCATCATTATTACTGTCTGTATTATCAAGCGAAAGATTTCCAAAGTTTGTTAGAGAAATAACATCTTTGATGTTCATAGTCGAAGTCATGTTACTGAGTTCAGTAGCTGGTGACATGATCGCGTTCTTAGCTAGCGTCGTCGTTGTTTTTAACGGAGAAATCGTGTTTACTGTACTATTGGTCAATGTTTCCATTGTATCAAAATCATCGTTCGCCCAATCATCCTCCAATATTTTCAAGAGATTAATAACTTTATCTTGCTCCAATGTAGCTTCAATCTCTGGTTCATCCACAGTTAAATCCGTGGTATCCAAACAGATACCTGTAGCTTTCACTTGTTGCTTACACACATTTGTTGTGGCGCGAACGTGTTTCTGATTCATTACTATAGCAGCGTCAATCGTTCTGTTTAATCTTATAGTTTTAAAAAATCGTTTACTATAGTCGATCTCTGGCGAAGGTGCTTTTTCCGCAATTGCATTAATAGGTGGATTTTTGTTTGAAATAACAGGATCCTGTGTAACATGCTGCTCCTCTTTCTTCAATATCTCTGGTTTTGTTTTAGGCTTCTTTGGCTTTTTGATACCGTGAGATACACCAGCATTTAGTTTACCGAATTTCTGCTTCTTTAATAATGAACGCCTGCTGTTTATGTTTAGCGCCGGTAAACTTCGTCTTTTTTTAACATCGCTATTAGTAAAATCACCGAAAGCAAATGGTCGCTCAGTCCTTGTGTTGCTACTATAAAATGTTTTTGTATTCAATGAAATATTTTTCAAGCTATTAGATTTGTTCTTTCTGTCCTGAAACAACGCTGCTCTCGCTCTAGGCGCAGAAACATCGTCCGCCTTGAATAACTTTGCCGGTTTCACTGTCAATTGATCGTTCGCGCGCCTCTTCAACGTATTCTCCTTTTGTTCGGGTGAGAAGCTCTCGCTCATTCCGAGCCCGCTGAAAGATTTTCGTCTGTGAAGCTTCGGCAATGGAGTTGTTTTATTTATGGAACTCAAGGGTGTTATTTGTCTACACTCAAGAGTTCTACTCTTTCGGGGTGTTTCCGTGATGTCCTGATTTTGTATCTCCATGGCAAAATTTCGTTGAGGTGTTTCCGGTACTATTTCATCCATTGTCACACTCATCTTTGAGCGCTGTGGCGTTAATGGTTCCATCAATTTGCGTGGAGAAGATGGCAGTGATCTTGATGAGCTGCTAATAAATTTACACCTTGGCGAATATCTAGCAGCTCTAGTGACTTTCTTAAGTGAACTAAAGGGTGACATATGGTCCTCCTTATTACGCTTTAATGTTAAGCGATCCCAGGACACAGGTGCATCAGATAAGGATAATTTTTCAGGTGTAGCAAATGGAGAGATAAATTCTCTCCCTGAAGAACTGTCACTAAGACTTGGACTTCGATCAGTAAAAGCCAGCGGTGATATAGGTCCCAAGTCTGAGTCTTCTCCTGAGATTGCTTCGACATCCTTAGTACAATTTGAATCTTGAGATGTCTTTTTCTTATAAAAATTGCCTTTGGATGGTGCAAAGAGACATTTTTGAGCTCGTCGTGGAGTGTAAAGTAAATCCCCTTGACCGCTATCCATTGACATTATCAAATAACTCTCTGGTAATCTAAAAAAGACAATCAATATCAAAATTAAGATATATTTATAGATTTGGCTTTGATTATAGTAATGGAAGATTAATTTTACAATACTGATAATACGAAATATAATGCACAAGATCTTTAAAAAAATTTATTTCATGATTTAATCAATCAGTCTCCTACAATATATATGTTTATCAATTTTCCATTTATAATATCAAAGCAGCAAATCATATAAATTGTGAAAGAAGTTAGTATGTTCACATACGAAAAATATTAACTTAATGCAATGCATAAATAAACTTAACCTGGGTTGAACGGCGAATTTAAGGAAGCGTTTCCGCTCAGTGCATCAAAAATTGTTGATAAATAAAGTGACATTCAATGTTTACACTCGTTATGCGTTAATACTTTTCTCGAAAAGCGGTATACTTTTCATAAAGGTTCACATTCAGAAACACATGAAAGAAACGCGGGAAACGAGCAAGAAAATTGAACGTTACGTTAGTTGCTGCGCAACTAAAGTTTACGCGGGTCATTTCGCGCATGCGCCTTGTGTTAGGTACTAGTACCATGATGTATGATTATCTAGATACGCGCCTAACATTAAATGATGAATTTTAAGGAGAGTTATCAACCAGCAATCTTATTGGCTATATTCCGCTAGCTCGGTATTTTAGTGCATCGATTGGTCAAAAACTTCGGGTGCCATTACATGGAGCGCGGAAACGCGGATTAGCGTAACGCGGAACGCGGAACGAGAGTGAAACCAATCGCGAGCATTCTGCAGTTTTTGTTACGCTCGCGATTGGTTCCCTTCTCGTTCCGCGTTACGCTAATCCACGTTTCCGCGCTTCATGTAATGGCACCCTTTCCGGGTTGTAAATGGAACTAATCGGTAAATTGTCATCGTCAATCACATGATGGATAAAAGTAAAAGAGATGTTCACGTTTACGAAATCGACAATAATCTAATTTTGCTCTTTTTACTCGTGTTATTATGCCGTTTGTGATAAATTCTTTTTTCTGGATGAATTGTGTCAAAAGTATTGAAAAAATTACGATAATCCGTGCAAGAAAAAGATCCCAACATTATAGATTGTAACCTATGTATATAAGTGTATATAAAAACAAAGTATATTATTAATTCTTCTATCAACAATGGATAAGCGAAATGCTTTACTTGTCTATTGTATTTTTATTACTCTCCAGAGTATTCGTAAGTTACATATTTAAATTCATATAACAGCTATTTTATATTATAATATATCACAGATTGATTTGCAATTAACATATAAAAAATAAAAGGCAAAATTTTTTGTTTAAAGCTGAGAAACAATTTTTTGAAGAGATGTCAAGATATTTGATTGAAAAAATTTAAAGTTTCTTTCATATAAGTTGGCAGAATTATAAAATAAACTATATCCTCTTTTTTTTATAAATTGCCAAAAAAACTTCAACATAGATTTTTTTTCAGTAAGATACTTAATACTGGCAAGCTTATACAGAATTAATGATTATTTTTCTCGATATTCTCTACTTTAATCTTATGTTCAAATAAAAAAATTTTGCATTATTTTTTATTGTTATTGCAAATCTTTCTATATAATGTGTTTTTTTAAATCTAATATTTGTATTAATTTTATATTAACAGATGGGCTTCACAGAAGTTTAAAATACTATGAAACAATTCACAGTACTCATTTCCAACATAAGATTGTAAAGCGAGGTATTCACCACAGTTATAATCCATACAATAAAATAAGTGAAATGGAATTTTATTCACATGGACGGTAAGATATATTTGATTACTCCTATATTTATATTATTGTCAAAAAAAATTATTCTGTTATTTTAAAAAATTTTTATATGTCTATTAATATTTCTTTTCTTTTCATTTATAGTCATTTTCGATTAATTTTAACACCTAGAAGAGAAGTTATACATTCCAATTTTAAGGCATATGAGGTCAATGCTGATGGAAAGGAGAAAACTATACATTTAGGTATGATAATATATATTTAAAAAATATCAAGCCACTGCATTTTTGAAATTTTATTTTATAGATCATGACAATTTTTATCATGGCCGAGTATTTGGAGAAATTGAGTCTCATGCTCAAATGCATATTGATAATGGCATTCTAACAGGTACTGTAACGACTTTGAATGAAACCTATCATATTGAGGTAAGTATATATGTATTGAATGAATTTTATACAATATAATAACTAAAAAGCAATATAATGAATAATAACGTGTTAAATAAAATTATATGAAAAGAATATGTTCATTGATCTATATATATATATATATATATATATATATATATGCAGAATAAAA